CTGGACGTATTAATTTATCAAGTCGAATAATTAATCGAGCATTTTCACTTTTTAAACAATGTTATGAAAATAAATGTGTACGAGGTCGTTCACAAGATGCCATTGTAGCAACATGTATTTATATAGCTTGTCGACAAGAAGGTGCACAACGTACAATTAAAGGTAAAATACATGAGATATATTGTGAATTTATCTAGAATGAATTTATTTTTGTTGTTATATTTTAAGAAATTTGTGCAATTTCAACAACTGCATCAAAAAAAGATATTGGTCGATGTTTTAAACAAATTGTTAATAGTTTACCGAATTCTAATCGACCTGAATCAATTGATATTAAAAATTTGGTGGTATGTTTTAAATTTAAATAATATCTTCTTCTATAGATTGTTTTTTTTTCTTTATTAAAAGCCTCGATTTTGTAATCAACTTGAACTTCATCAAGAAAATATTATTCAAAAAACAGCTGTTCATATTGCTGAACGTGCAAAAGAAATTTGCGATATTCAAAGTCGTGCACCAGATTCCATTGCAGGTGCATCAATTTATATGGCTTGTGCAGCTGCTGGAGAGAAAAAACCAATGAAAGGTAAATAGATAATTTTAAAATAAAAACAGAAAAAAAAAACCAAAAAATATATATTTTTTTCTTTTAGATATTCAAGTTGCTGCTGGTGTTATGGAAAGTACAATACGATTAATATATAAAATCATGTTACCAAAAGCTGCTGAATTATTTCCAAAGGATTTTGTATTTAAATGTCCACCAGCTAATTTACCACAATCATAAAGAATAAACTGGATTTTCTTTTTTTTTCTTGTTGTCGATGTGTATCTATGGATTTTGCGTGATTTAATTTATAAAGAAAAGAAAAAAAAAACACAACAAAAGAGTAATATATGTCCTGTTTTTGTTTTCACAACCATTCTTGCTTATTGATGTCTCATGTTATATACATTTAATAATAAAACACACAGAGAAAGAACAGAAATCAAAAATATTTTCTAATATGCTTTATTTCACTACTTTAGATGGCAACTGCAAATATAAAAACTGAAGATGAAGAATATGAACAATGGCATGCAGCTGAAGCAATGCGTAATCCACATCAATGGGCTGATTCTAGTGATGATGAAAATGATGATATAGATAAGCATGAATTTTTTGATGCACATGATACTGAATTTCATAAAAATCCATCATCTTCCACTGAAGGTCATGCTGAAGCAGAACTTTTACATAAACGTCTTAATTCACAATTATCTACAGATGAACAAGTACAAAAAAAATCACCAGGTTAGAATAAAATTTCTATTTGATTTTTTGTGATAATTTTTTTGTTTTTTTTTTTCTTTCAGAAGATCCATACTTTATCGATGAAGAATTACTTGCTGAACGTGAAACACTTTTAACAGAAGAAGATAAAGAAGTAATTTCATTTTTTCTTACTATGACACATTGCTAAAATAGTTGAAAAGAGAATTCTAAACTTTTACTGATATTAAATTATAGTAGAACAATAATATGAAAATTCTTTTCCTACTTAAGAATATCCTTTCATAAAATAAATCGATTTCTTCCTAACAGATTATTCACATTTAATCATAGAAACGTCATAAAGAATCGCAAACATCAAAAGAAGAAGGTAATAATTTATTCGGTCGTGGTGAATATGATCAAGCATTAGAACAATACAGTCATGCATTATCATTTTGTCCAATGAAATATACTCGTGATCGTGCTGTTATCTATGCAAATCGTGCAGCATGTTTAATGAAGATGGTATAATCAAAAATATTTAAAAAAAAAATTTTAAACAGAAAAAAAGAATCTTCTTTTTCTTACTTTTTGTTAATTCATAGGAAAAATATGAATCTGCTGTTCAATCTTGTACACAATCGATTAAATATGATCCAAATTATATAAAAGCTTTTGTACGTCGTGCTGAATCTTATAAATCTATTGATAAATTAGAAGAAGCATTACAAGATTATCAGAAAATTCTTGAACTTGATCCAAATAGTGCACAAGCACGAAAAGAAGTCTATGTAAGGATGTTTGATTTTTGTTTTTTGTCTTTGTTTAATAATTCTTTTTATTTTTAGATTTTACCCGATCAAATAAAAGAACGTAATGAAAAATTAAAAGATGAAATGTTAGGTATGTTATATATAGAACTCTTTTCTTTTTTTATTTACAAAAAATTAATCGTTGTTTTTTTTTCTAAGGTAAATTAAAAGAATTGGGAAATATGGTATTAAAACCATTTGGTCTATCTACAAATAATTTCAAACTTCAACAAGATCCATCGACTGGTTCTTATAGCGTTAATTTTCAAAAATGAATGTGATATTTTTCTTTGTCTTGCTGTTTTATATTTAATAAACAAGAAAATAAAATTTTAATCGTAACAATCTTTGTTCCATTAAAATTATCAGTTGTATAACAAAATAACATTAATCTTTCACTTTCTGTTTTGTGTAATTTCTCACTCAGTTATAAAAACTAATAAAGAATCGAATCAAGGATGGTTCCCAAATATTGTGTAGAAATTTCAATAAGCTGCAAACCTGTAAACAATTAAACTTCTTCTAATTATTCTTTGACTAAGATTAATGGTATTTCTTCAAAAAAATAAATAAATAAATAAAGCCTGATTTCTACAGATACTTGATACATTTCATAGCGCTTAGCCCGGTATGTATCAGGCCTCGAAACGGGCCGCTCGGCCCAATGATTTTATCCATTTTTGATGTAACCTTTTCTGAGATTTGGCTCACTCCAGAAGGAGAATAGGGGGAAACTTTTCCACACTACCCCCTCTCCCTTGGTCATCACTTTCTATATTTCTTTCGGACCTCGGCCGAGTCATAAAAAATTGGTCCGATTTCGAGGCTTGGTATGCATTTTCATTAAAAACTACTTATCAGCAGCACGCATTTAAGGTATGGATGTGAAGGTAAATAGAAAATCTACGCCCATCTTCATCAGAGAAGCATTGATTGAAAGTCCTATTGAAAACTTATTGCATATAAGTAATAATTATCTCAAAAGACAACATTACTTCTAGTGAGATCAAAGCAGACTGCTCTCAGCACTACATCGGATCGTGCGGGGATACTACGTTTTATTGAAAATGCATATCGCTAAACACTACGGAGTGTCCCAACTTTTTTTTATAGGATTTATATTTTTTAGGAAAGATTATACTGAAAAACTTTATTGGAAATAATAACCAGTCAAAAAAGCATTCTACGACCGTTCTTCTCATCAGCGATAAAAGATAGATAACTACAATCGTTTTGACAAATGAAAACTGGCATTGATTAATTCAAGTAGATTTTCTCTGTTGAGTTCTCTGATCGAATTACAATCATGACAACCCCCGAAAGTTTGATTCGTTAGACATAATAGAATGCTATGCCTTTCAATTTTATACATATAGAGTATATTATAGATGGAAAAAATAGCAGTCACTCACTCATCCACACACACTAGTCACTTTTTTCGTTCTGTTGCGTCACACGATAAATGGATATATGAATTTTCTCCAATGGATAACGTGCATCAGTGACAGAATGCAAAAAGTGACCAATGAGTGTGAATGAGTGAGTGACTACTATTTTTCCTATTCCTATTATTTTACATATAGTCGAGATATACATCCTGAAGAAACATATGCCTTAGAGAAAGCAGAAAAAAAGCAAACACTTAATTCGATTATTATTGAATTTAATCCAAAACTGTAACCAAAAATTGAGCATAACTATAGGAGGAATTTTCCGAAAAATCCATAATAGAAGGCCATACCTTTTTATTCTGGGAGCGGGAGGGGGTATTTCCGATGATTATTTTCTCTTATCCAATATGGACCTAGAAATTTTGCTCAAAACTAAAAGTTCGGATCTTTATTACTTGCAGATTAGAAGCTACTCTATAAAATGCATTATTTAAGACACTTTTTGTCTTTCGACAAGGCACCTCAATTTTCATTTTTCCTAAACATTCATTTTTCAAAAAATCGACAATCGTTTTACGTTGAAAGAAGTTCTTGTGTAGCTTCACTTGGATAAAAGCTATAGGTTCGTTCAATATTACAATTTGTAGAGAAGTGTTCACTCTTCAAAAAGATTGACTTCGACAATTGTTAACATGTTCAAAAAGTTTCTCACTACTCTTGAACTATAATAGACATAACATTAACTATCTGAGCAGAAGCTTGCCGCTTGAGTTCATAAGAAGATCTCGGTAAGACTAAAAATATTCTAAGAGAATTCGTTTCCATCGATATTTGTGAAGTTTCGATCCAGCTACCGAATAATGGAATTTTGGTGTGATGGCATTGGGAATATCCTAAAAGTTTCAGCGGAATAGAATGTTCTTTTGCTAAGATATCGAATTTCAAAAAAAAAATGGTGGTTTGCTTGAAAATTTAATATTTCAACAAAGGAACATTCTTCTCGGATGAAACTTTCAAGATATTCTCAGACTTATCCATGGACAAAAACTTAGGTTAACATTCCTTTATTTAATTTTTGGGTAGCTGGATCGAAAATTCATAGATGCCTATGAAGTTTCCTTATAAGCCCATATTTGAAACGATTACAAAATTCTAGCATTTAAGTCATCTGAAATGCTTTCAACTGAACACATATCTTGTCTAAAAACGTTCTGATCATCGGTTATTATTTATTCAAATGATTATTCTCAATAAAATTCTAATATTTAATTTTTCGGTAGCTTCAAAAACTACATCGTTAAAGAAAACTAATTTCTATTATTTTATTTTTTTGATGTCACGTTAACCCATAATTAAATAAAAAAAAACATGACGTACACATTGTTCAATAGCGACATTTTTAAATGACAAAAGCGTATTGGTTAAGAACATATAAATATTCACTTGTCTCTGGTCGGTCGGTTGGTGTTGAATAACAGAACGGAAGAGTAAAATACAAAACTTTAATGTGATCCTTTTCTTTTTTTGGTGCTAAGTAACAATATGGATATTGATATTGTTAATGCTATATTACGATTATGTACTGAAAAACAAACATGTCTATTCGAAGTACCTTTTCTATGTAATTATTGTCTTGAACAAAATTTATGTACGAATCCTAAATATGTTCTTGCTAGTATTAAAAATTATATGGAAATATTTAAAATTAGTCGAGATAAAAATCGTATTGAATTTATTATGCCTGTTTGTATTAATTTTTTTTCATGGTTTTTGTTTTTTTGTCTTTATTATATTATTTTATAGTTTGAAATATGCCGAAATAAATTTATTGATGGTATTTGTCAAAATAATGATATATTATGTACAAATCTTCATCTATGTTATGATTATTTTTATACAAATTCATGTCGTTATTCAATTAATTGTCTATATCCACATATATTAACAGAAAAATATCATAAAACTATACTTGGATCATTAATTAATCTTGATTTAGATCTATTAACTAAAGCTTTTCGAGTTTATTGTCAATCTAAAGTAATACAAAAAAAGTTTTTCTTTTATCAATTTAAATTTTATTTATTTAGAAACATTTAGTATATCATAATTCATCGAAAGTACAACAACAACAACAACCAATTATCCATTCATCTTTAATTAATAACCCAACACCATCATCATCTATGACAAATAATTGGCGAATGATACCAAATTCACAAATAAATGGAAATTCATCGTGGAAAACAAATAATCGATTACTTATTACTTTAAGAACTCTTCCAAAACAACAAACAATTTCTTCAATTCGTATGTTTTTTTTTGTTAAACTATATAGTTTTTTTTCATCAATTAATAGAAAAGAAAGATATTACTACTGAAAGTAATCTTTCATTAGAATGGTCCAAATGAGCGGTACTGGTGTATGAGTCATACTTTTACGTCTCTTTCTGTTTTATTTTTCATTGTTCCAATCAATCTCTTATGCATATGGGATGTCGGTGTGTGTCATCAGTTCATCCATACTCTGATCTTCAGGATTTCAAAATGCTAAAATTGATTGGAAAAGATATGACAGTCAAAAAATGATTCTCAAATCTACCCTCAACTGACACTCATCATTTCGACTCTCGGAAGGAAATTTCCAGGAGACTAACAAAAGTGTTAGAGTTCGTTCTCATGAGTCCTTCACGTCCGGTTTACTGGACTTTCAACGCATTTTTGGTACTTTAAGAAAAACCAAATAATGAAGTTTCGATCCAAAGTTTAATCCCTGAATACGTAGTATATTGACTCTTAGAATGAAGGTATTTATATTAATAATTAGAAAGATGGGACATATCCGGAGCAAATGAAAACTCTCACTGTCAAATTAACAAGTTTAAAATATTAGCGGCTGTTGGTCCGGTTAGAGGGAGATATTCGATCACAAGTTGGGTGTATAGGAACATTAGGATTACTTCCATTGCAACCAGCTGAGTAACTTAATAGTAAACTACAAGAATCTTTCTGAAATTTATCAATAGTTTCGATGTCTTCTGGAACTTAAGTAGTATCGTATTCAATTCGAGAAGATGTTCAATAAATTCATCTTTGAACTTGATGGTTAATCAGTTGATTTAATAGAGAATAAAAGAGATTAATTCTTCGATAATGTATATTTATGATTTCTTAAACACCAATTGCAAAAAACTGGTCAATATACCACCAAGTGATGCATCAATGTACTGTAAATTCAAATACTATACGTACAAGTCGTTTTTCACCTACATCATATATTATTTTTTCATTTCGATACTATCTAAATTTCAGAAAGATATCAAAACTATTGATAAATTTCCGAAAGATTCTTGTAGTCTACTATTGAATTACTCAGTTGATTGTAATGGAAGTAATCCTAATGTTTCTATGTACCTAAATTGTGATCGAATATCTTCCTGTAACCCAGCCAACAGCCGCTAATATTTTAAACTTGTTAATTTGGCAGTAAGAGCTTTCATTTGACCCGAATACGTCTCAGTTTTCTAATTATCAACATAAACACCTCTATTGTGAGATCTCCTGTTTGGCACAATATGAGAGTACGCTCTCTTTGTATTGACTTATTCTGAATACATATTCACGTTTATAACAATTAAAATAAATTTGATTGATTTATTTTAGCTGAAAAAGGTCTTCAAATATGTTGGAAACCACCAAAAAATATTCAAACTCATTTTATCGAAGTAATTTTTAGTAATCAAATCAAGTCAGACGGAGGTCCAATACAAACACATAAAATCTATCAACATTTAGGTGTTGCACAAGTATTTTATCAAAATTTAGATAGTAAAAAAACAAACCTAATTTTGATCAAATAAGATAATTCTTTCATGTATATTTTAGTTGCTGAACGAGTTGCTCTTCATGGATCAATAACATTTCAATCATTTAGTTTTACATCACGTCTTCTACAACGAAGAATTGATAAACGTCATATATGTTTTTCAAATATACCTATTGAAACAAATCATATTATATCATATATTGATACTGTTTCAATGCCTTATATGAAAAATAATATTGAATATTATCAAAATGATAAACAAATAATTATTGTTGAATATAATGAAGATATTGGTAAAAAAGAAAATAGGAAAAAACAAAGAAAAATAATTTTTTTTTATTTTTTATTTTTTGAAGATTTTTCAAAGATTTCTTTAAATGTTCGAAATCATCCAGAATGTAATGGATTAATAATTAATTGTATTCAATTATATTATCCAGAAACATTATTAATTGAATATGATCAAGAATATTCTGAAGATGATATTATTAAATTATTTGATAAGAAAAAAATTTTTCATATAAAAATTTATTCTTATTGTTCTTTTGTACATTTCTATTCTCATGATGGTAAGTTACAGCATTCCAAATTAAGAATTCATCATTCAGAAAAAATCAAATTTATAATTTATAGCTCGTTTAGATAGATCAAAGTGTCTATTCTCAAATATACTATAGTTTAGTGATTTTACAATTAGATTTAAGGATATTACATAGGTTTTTTTCGGAACTCACATACAGAAGAAAATAACGCAGTGATGTGAGCATGTCTATCATATATTGCTAAGTATGATAAGTGAATACAACATTCGAGCGTAAAAAAAAAGGAAAAAACAAAATCATAGAATGAAATGAAAGTCATAACTACGTCTTCATTGACAAAGCAAATAGTCAAAGAGATTTTTGACTATTATTCCATCAATGTAGAATAGACTATGAGTCATTGTTTATTTTTGATAAACTTCTCTTTGTCATATTCTGAGTCATGATGAGTAAAAAAACATATTATGAAATATTTTAAATCATTTGAAAATACTTCTTCTACATAATGTATGTTGATTTAGATAAATTTATAGAAAATTTTGTTTTTTTCTTAAACAGGTAACTTTTGTTGATATGTCGGTGAATGTAAGGTATTTTCATATGAAAAAGATATTCTCTTGTACATTTTTATATACATTCATTTGATTTGTTAATCTATGACAAATTATTCGAAGATTCTTTTTAAATTAGTCTATGAAAGAAAAAATCTTAAAACTTATTTCTCACAACAGGATTTTTGATTTTGATGTTTCCGTGCGTTCGAAATTTCTCCGCCAATTTTGATCGCTAGAAAGCTGTGCTTAGTGCACATTGTCCCGTGATAAAAAAAAACGAGTTAGTTACTCAAATGAATAAAGAGCGACTGAAAAATCATAGGCTCTTAGAAGCAGGAACTTAGTGATCGTATTCACATGGTTAGATTTTTCCAATTTCGGTGAGAACCAGTCGTAATTGCATTGAATTCAATTACCAGATTTCTACTTCCGTTTGCCTGATATCCACGAACCCCCGATGATAGAGTGATTAATCTGGGCACAGTTAAAGTATACAATCTGTCGACTTTTTCGTTCTTTGTCTACTAGAGTAATAAAAGCAAAAAAGAATGAAAATTCCAACAAACATCTATCGTAGAAGAAATCTCACAAAAAAATAAATTACGATGTAAAAATAGAGGATGGCACATGGTCGTGGTAAAGTAACTCAACTTTATTTTACTTGGTAAAATATTTTTGAAAAATATTGCTATCTTACTTTATGTTATCCGGTAAAGATAAAGAGTCACTTCTAGCAATGTACCATAGTTTATTCTAGCTAGTTTTTCTTAATCATCTTCCTTTTCTTTTTCTTTTCTACACCTTCATAGAATTAGCAAACATATTTTACTAGTTTTCGAAAGTTTAGAACATATTCCTTAAAAAAAAGCAAAAAACGAAATTACTCTCCACGATATTCTTGACTAAGGAACCATGTCTGAACATTTCAACAATTAATTTTACATCCGTAGTCCAAGGAAACAGTACCGTAATCCTTCATTCCAAAAAAACGATAGTAGTTTTCTATCGAAAAAAAAAATAGGATGGCAGATTTACATTGAAATATCGTACAATTTAATGCAGTAATACACTGTTTTATAGTCGAAATGATCATCCTGGAATCATAGGTTAGTCATTTGCATCATCGAATCTAGAATAGTAACTAAAATAATGTACATCATTCATTTGTTGCTTGACAACAAAAACTATTAATCTTCTAGAAATAGAATCAAGGAGTAGTTCATATATGATCTTTGATTGTATATCAACAATATCTATCACGTTATGTGAGAGATGCGATTTTCTACCTCCATATATACTTCAACACTGCTTTTTTGGATCATGTATTACAAAATACAATGATAAATTAAGGCCACCCCCCTCCCCTCCCCTCAAAAAAGTCACTTTTCATCAAAATGATCGAAATTGAGGTGACTTCATGGAGATATAGCTCGTCAAATGCTCTTTCATAAATGACACAAGGTTTTACTCAACATCGTTTTTTTTCCGAAAATTCTGGAAGATTTTTATCACCCCCCTATTCGAAAAATAACCGGTTTTTACAAAAAAACCAAAAATCATTTTTCGTTTTTCTCAGAACGTGGGTTCAACGACGTATCTCCAGCAGAACTCCATCACAGTAAGAGATAAAGCCAAATATTTTTTTTTGTTTGAAAGCTTATGTGCAAAGCTAGCGACTCTCGTGGCCCTTTTTTTAAAATAAGCTTTTTTATTATCACAGAAGATAACATCTCTATCGGAGCAGCGCGATTTTTAGAGAGGTTTTTTGAGATATTGAACTTTCGCTCCGGTTTTTTCCCCTAAACGTAAGGCTTTAAAAAAAGAGCCACAAGAGTCGCTGCATTCTGGCACGCTCTTTCAAACAAAAAAACATTAAATGTCTAGAACGAAGACCCGCATAGAAAACTTGGAGATACTAAAGAGCTATTTTTGCCCCTCGTTTGGTGCATATCTCGGTTAAACATCATGCTATAGGGCTGAAAATTTGACCATAGCCATGTCTCACCAGCCCCAATATATCCTGAAATTTTCATGTCATTTGAATGTTCCTGGGCTGAGAGCGATTTTTGAGGGGGGGGGGGGGGCCTTAAGTATGAAGTTTCTATTCGATGAAATTTTAGTTGAATCCATATGATAAGAAAAAACAATCGAAGTTTATTCGAACTCTCTCTTTGTTTTTGTTCTTAAATTCTGAATTTAGATCTTGCACAATCAATTAATAGAACATTTGATAATTTTATACGAGTGATACCAATTTATATTGACATATATTCAGAACATCATTTGAATGATTATTTGCAACGACGACAAATGGAACTTCAACAAAAACCAGCTGTCACACAGACTATTTCTCCATTAAATGAGACTATGAAAAATGAATCAGTATCTCCTACAAAAAATATTAATCTATCTTCTATACCTCAACCATCAACACCTATTTTACCACCTCCACCTATTAATCAACAAATAGGTTTGTTGTAACTAACTTCAAAATACAAAAAAAAAAACAAACATCTATATCTATCAATTCTAGAAATTCCTGTAGAACTAAAATCATCAATTAAAGAAAAAATTTGTTCTTCTTCTTCTCCTCCAAAACAAGAAACAATATTATTAAATTCTCAAGAACAATTAATTGTTGAAGAAAAAAAAAATGAACAAGTTGTAAATAGTGATGAAGATGAAACAACAGGAAGTGAAGATGATTTTCATGATTTACCATCGGATTTTGATAATGATGATTTATTTCTTGATGAAGCAATTGATGATCAAGGTGATATGGAATATCTTCGTAGTGCAGCTAAAAATTTAATGTCATCATTAACTGAAATGGAAGAAGCTAGTGCAAATACAGAGACAGATGATACACCACATTCATTATTATATGGTGATGATTATATAATTACAATAAAAAGTCGTCGTTTTGCATTAGCTTTTCTTGATTATACACAATTTCGTGTTGAAAAACAACGTAATCCAGATAAATTTCGTTTACTTGCATCACTTAAAAAATTATCAAATAATAAAAAACGATCAGATCATATACAACAACAACAACATGATCAAATATTATCATCAACACCAACAATTGAAATAAAAACAAATAAGAAAAAACGAAATAAACGTAATAAAAAGAAAAAAAATACGAATAATAATGATAAAGGTATTCTATCATTTTAAATAATACTTAAAATCTTTTAATATCCTATTATTGTGACACGTATAACATATTTACTCAAAAATTTCAAAGACTACTTTCTATGTTTGTCTTAAAATAGATTTTAAAAATTTGAATCTCAAAAAAAAAAACAACAACAAACGAATTTTATTTATTAATAATTATTTGAATTTTTCTTTGCCTTTTTATAGACGATGAAATCGACATGACAAACTAACAATAAAAATATAAATTCACAGATATACACACAATGGTATTAATCGAGAAATGATACTGATATTAAACATTGTTTTCTTTTTGATAAAAGAATTTATTTTTTTTTTTTGTTTTTTGTTTTTTGTAATTGTTTATTGTATTATATTTATGTGTGAAACAAATGGCAACTATTATAAATAAAATGAAACGTGATATTATAGATAATAGAAAAGAAATTTGAAAAAATTTCAATAAATATCCCTAATCATATAACAACAAACCTAAAGAAAAACAAAAAAAAAACTCATTCTCCTCAAATAACTGGAGTTGTTTTTCGTCCAAAAAGTAACCAAATAATCAAACCTGAAAGAAAAAAAAATATTTGTAAAATTTATATAATATTTACAAAAAAAACAAAACAACAATACATACCACCTATAGGAAAGATTATAATCAATAAAATCCAAAGTAATTTTCCAACAATAGTACGAGGAGTTCCAAGAACATCAAAAATAGCAATAATATCAAGAATTATTATTATCTAATATAAATAGAATAGTTCAAGTTTTATTTATTTACTTATATATTTACTTACAAGACCACCAATACTTCCACCTATATATCCACCTATATTTCCATCAGCATTGACTAGATTGCATAAATATGATAGAAATATAAATGTAAACGGTATTGAATATAACGACATTATTGTTGATATTTAATATTTAAGAAGATATCTGATGCTGACCGTTTAAAACTTTGTTATCATGAAAATATTCGAATTAGTCATTCATTTGAATCTATAGTATAAGCCTTTATCTTTCCTAACGATCGAGAATACAAAAAAAAAACAATACTTTTTTTTTTGAAGCAAATGCTTTTTCTCATTAAGTGACAAGACACATGTGTGTTCCACTCTTTGATACCCCATTTCAACTGAATACTATTTCATGTACTTTTTCACAAGGTATTCTGTTTTTAATCTTGAGCAAATACATTTTAGGTTGACACTTAAAATTTCACATATTTTTTTTTTGTCTCTTTAATTGCAGAAAATGTGCACTCTCAGTTCGTTTCTTACTATTGACAAAATCAAAATGAATAAATCATATAAAATATTTTAATCTTTCAGAAAAAATAACTCCATTTATATTAAAATATATTTCATTTTATCAAACATGTCATACACTGAGCTAATTTTACGAATACACACATTCGACATCCTCTTGAAGGAAATTACCGAGTCTTATTTAACAATACTATCATGACTTTTTTCCCCATTTCTATGAGTAACTCTCACTAATGAAAAAAAAACAAAGCCGTCTATTTTGTCCGAAGGCATGACTTTTGTATATGATAGATAGCAAATCGAAAAGTGCAACAAAATTGTTACGATTTTTTAGACACATGATCAAAAACATATTTCTTTTATAAAAACAAACCAATTGGAAGTATCTTGTATAGCATATTATTTGAAAATGTTTTATTGATAAATAATGTTTATCTTACTTTATTATTCCTATTGTTATGATAAATCAGAAAGACTAATCGAAAGATTCTAATACAAACTTTCTTTTCCTATCCGTGGTTTCCAATAACAGATAGATTTATTATTTTACCTAAACAATCTTGATATACGTAGACGATTCTGTTCACAAAACAAAAAATTATTTGATTTACTAATATAAAAAAACAGTCATTTAACCTCATGAAATGTTAGATTGGATAATAACTTAAGTTGTGCGTCATGTTGAATCGAGTAGAAGCATTTTTCTTTAAAGTTTGAAATCGATCTTTAATTGGTAAAACTTGTTGTGGGCGTATATCTCACGATGTCGCTTGATATTCAACTGTGATTTTAGTAAGACTTTGTAATGAACTTTGGCAGAATTCATTCGAAGTTGTATTGAGTCATGCAACGGTTGAGGTGGATGTCGATGTATGTCTTCTTTGCATCTACGTGCATACTCGCACCCACATTCTATGCCATTAGGAAGTAATTTACTGGCTACTCAAACAGACAAAATTTTGGAAAAACACATTTAAACACATGAAACCGTTCATTTTCCAGCATTTAAGCGCATTTGGCACAAAATAGTCGTGAAAACACCAGAAAATCTAAGTTTTCAACGTGAACCGGCATAAATTCTTTTAGTCGCATATATTTTGCATATGTCAAAATTCAAAAAGTTAGTTTTCTGAACGTTATTACGCTCAAATTTTCTCTCACGTGCGTGTTAATCGCACGAAGGTCTAAACTTGACACGGTTTTTTTCACAATATTTTTGCTGAAATGATTGAAGCAATAATTTATAATCGTGCTAGTGCTTGAAAAATAAATATTTTGACCGTTTTCGATACAAATATTTCCATTATGATTGATATTCAATATTTCTGTTTTTCAACAATCAAAATCCGATAATTATAAGCGTGTTCTGAAGCTAAACTTTTCATTCGTATTTTATTAAACATTTTAAACGAGTTATGAAAAAAATCATATTACTGTTTTCTCTACCAATTTTTAATATCTATGGCCGAAACTTTCAGAATACAATTAATAATCAGACATGTATCTGTCATACAAATATAAGACTAAACGACAATTCTGTGCAGAATTAATAGAGAAAATTGAATATAGTTTACTCTTGTCATGGAAAAAGTTATACAATTTTTTCATAACTGATGAAAGGCTACAGTTATTTATTGAAATCCACGATAAACCTGAACAGCAGTGTTTCGCTTACGAATATGTCCTATGAACGCTTATTCATTAGCACTGAAAGAATCAGCTCATTTGATCAAAATATGGCGAAAATATTCAATTTTTTCTTCCGTAAACTGACTTTTGAATCATCCGTACGCATCATTCGGTTACTTGTAGTTGCATGCATGAGTGCCATGCTTGATTGTTTAAACGAGTGTATGTCAGTATCCTAGATGACCGAAGCTAATCAATGTGCATCCCATGTCTTAGCGGCTCCGCTCTTACAATGCATCTTTTTGATTTCATATTGATCGACATTTACCTTTCTCTTTCTCTTTTCTCTCGATATATGATATCATACTTTTTCTTTAATGTAATATCTTTCTATCACTTTATCTTCTTTTTTTGTTGTATTCATTTTTCTCTTTCGTCTCCCCTTGGATGTTCGAAATGACATATATATTTGCTCTTTTTTCTCTGTTCTAATTGGTCTGATATAGTGTAGTTGTTGTGTACGTGTGTGTGTGAGAATATTTTTGGTTTAGTAAAAATAAAAGAAAGAAGATCAACAATCTTTTCTTCATAATACCATGCTTGCTGCTTTTTTATGCAGATTTTGATGATTCCATGAGTATTTAAGTATGTGACATGCAATTAATCACTCAAGCTAGAATACACTGTAAAAAAAATCCTTGGAATAATAACCCTTTAAAGAGTTTATGCTAGTGCAACAGATAAATAGCCCTTTTTTACCGTTTAAGAAATCTTCGTAAATCCTTTCATAAATCCTTTAGAAAGAGTATATGAAAAGGTTTATAAGCTTCAAATACCATCTGTGAAAGGGTTCATAATATTCATGAATCCTTAAGCCCTTCGGTAAAAAATCGATTTGTATCCCAGAATAACTGATCTAGCTGAAAATTCCAGAAAATATGGATGTGAGTCTAGGGAACTTACAGTAAAAATTTCAGCTCGAAATATTGGGTTGTTCCAGAGTTATCTCTATATCAATAGCCCAAAAGTAGGTCTCCGTGCGTCTCAGATTTCTCTCCCAAAGTTAATGATACAGATTTCGGATTGGCGTCAAAATGTAGCCAACACTTGCTGCTACAATGTAACAGAGCCCGATTTTTAAATTCTTCTTTGTTAAATTCTTGTGTCAGTTTTTTCTTGAAAACTTCGAAAAAATAGGGATATTCCTAAGAAAAAAGGTTCAGTTCTCTTAAAAATTAAGTCAAAAATAAAAAACACGAAGCTAGTAAGTTGTTAAGCACAACTTTCTCTTCAATTTAAAAGCTCTCTAGCATGTAAAATGGCTGCGCAATCTGGGACGCACAGCCTAAAAAAACTCGTTTTGACAAAAAATGGCAAACAAAGTTGAACTTGGGAAATCCAGTGTTTTTCCCTTCGTAGAGCGATTTATGAGGGATTACATGGAGAGGATGTATGAAGCGCACTTGCTAGAACATGTGGGATATGTTCTCCAAGTTAGAAGCCTATTGGCAAAGTCATAGGAATCCAGAAACTAAAATTTACCAAAGATTTTCTGCTTGTGAATTTTTCACAAAATCTCTTGAAAATCGTAAAAAAAACCGTCCGAAAACTTCTCGAAACAATCGTAATAACTAAGAATAACAGTGATTCTGAAAGTAGAAAATGTGAGCTATTCGACTATGTAGAAATCTTAAAACTTGATATTTTTGACAGGGAATGCCTTAAAAGGTTTGCTATACACTACACTTTATTTTATGAACTACACAATGTTTACGAGAGAGTAATCAAAAAGATCCTTAAATTACCAAAACGATTGAAAATTCCATAGCACTCAGACATTGCTCGAACACAGTAACACATAACACTGCATGCAAAAAAAACACAACGAAACTGAACCGTTTCATTTTACTTATCTCACAGTATGTTGCAAAAAAACATAAAAACAACTGAATAATGAAAAGAAAAGAAAAAAGTAAATTATCTTCTTTCATTTCTGTCATAAAACGCTGCATGACTATCAGCGGAAATGAATCAACACGAAGGAAATTAGAGTAGAAATTTTATTAACATATTTTCATCTACAAAAAAAAAACTGATTAACTATCTGGA